AAAAAAAAAAGAAAGAAAGAAAGAAATTGCCTGGTTACCACCAGAACACAATGTCACACCCTTCACATTCCCAGCCTTTGATTGCTCCACATGTTCTGGGAACACCTCATTCCACCCAACCCCACCCTATCTAGTTCCCTTAAGGCAGAGCTCTCAGGGAGAGAACCAGCAGTGCAGTGGAGCAGGCAAAGAAAATCCTTGCAGTAAACTTGGCCTCCAGGAACTGGCCACTGGTGGGCGTTGTGGCCATTCATGGGCACCTGACCATGCAAAAAGAAGTACTTTGCCTCATTCTTACCATTCTGAAAGACTGTGATACCCGGAGTCCAATCTCCATCATCACACAGGAAGTCGAGTACTTCCTACTCAGTCAGGCCCTTGTACCTCAAACTCAAAAACTCTTTTAAGCCCCAGAAACTAAGACTTCGTGGACAAAATCCCTAGGAACCAGAGTAAGTGGCACTTGTCTGTTTTCTGTCTTGTTTACTGTCAGGACAATCTTGTTTAAAGCTGGTGGGATGGCAGTCCTTTCATGGTGTAGGACAGTTATTTGTTTACCTGTGATGAATTCTTTGAGAGTCAGTAAGTGTCTAAGTAGCCCATTGATGTATCTGTGAGCGAATCATTTCTGTACAGCAATATTGAGAACGGGTAAACTTATAAAACTGGGTTCTCAGAAGTGAAATTTTTTTGCTAAAAGTAAGCTTTCTTAGATGTTTGTTCTTGGTGACTGACTAAAGAAAGTCAACCTAATATAAAGGGGCAAGAGATGTTTTCTGTGGAAAGCAATTCAAGAGGAAATCACTTGTCCAACTTCCCTATGGAAAGGAAAACCATATATTGTGTAGGAAGAATTTGTTGCAAGAGGAAAATGTTAATTAGGAAGACCTTTGTAAATGCAAGATTGATTTGATACTGAACCAATCTTTAAGAAAAGTAGAATCAAGGGTTCTCAAAACCAGGAGTGGTGACTATCTTTGGCGGAGGTATGATTGCACTCACCCAAAGCAGGGAGCTGGCCAAATGACCTGTTAAGATGCTTTTATTCTATTCTAGTAACAAAACGGGAACTCTGGTAGCGTAGTGGCTAAAAGCACTTGACTGCTAACCAGAAGGCTGGCGGTTCAAACCCACCAGCCACTCCTCGGAAGGAAGGTTGGGCAATCCTACTTCCGTAGTGATACTGCCTTGGAAACCCAAGGAGGGGTCGCTATGAGTCGGGGCCGACTCGACGGCAAACAACAACACAGTAACAAAACGGCAAGTCGGAATTTCTTCTGAATCTAGTTGCTAGGAAATGTGTCAAGTAGGAAGAAATTCATGACAGATAAAGATACAAGGGCATGGGGACCATTTGGAAGGGTCTACTTCATCTGTTCCTTCATATGGGACGTTTGAGGGTCCGAAGAAGAACTAGAAGTTTTCAGCAGTTTTTATAACCTACTGCCAGGTGGTGTGTCACTCCCTAATCACTTCAGTCCCTGAGTAACAGAACAGCTTTGAGCTAGCCAGACTATGGGGCTCCGGCAGTGATGTGCTGGGAAATGTTTAACATTTGACTTTTCTGAAAATAAAGGACCTTATTTCTCTCATTTGCCATTTACCATGGTGTAAATACTCCCATCATGGTTGATTTGAAGCTACTAACATACTGAATGTGGAGTTGGAAAGAGACACATAGCAAACAGCTCTCATAAACTAGCTCCAGCACATTCCTGGGCCTGGGTGCTTTTACAATCACCCACTGCGCTTTCTCTGTTCAGAGACTTTACCAGCTATCAGGCTGGAGGACACTGGCACTGGAAATTTTTAGGCTCTAGGACTGCAGCTAACCACTGTGCAAGGACCTTGGGGCCGGACTTTTGTAGCAGGCTATAGTAGGGCTAGGAACTCTTGTAACGTAGTGCCTAAGATATTTGACTGCTACCCAGAAGGCTGGTGGTTCAAACTCACCAGCCACTCCTTGGAAGGAAAACTAGGCAATCTACTTCTGTAGTGATACCCCCTCGGAAACCCAAGGAGGGGTCGCTGTGAGCCGGATCTGATTCGACGGCAGTGGGTTTGGTTTTGTTTTTTATAGTAGGGCTAGCATATTGGGTAGCAACATGGTCCTTTGTTTTCTCCTCCATCTCCCTTTAGGATGAGGTCATCTCCTTTCAGGATCAGAGTACCCTGGAGTTGTTGCATGACAAGTTGGGGAAACAGCTAATGGGCTTAGGGGTTTGAAGGTGAGGAGGTGACTCAAAATGGCACCTAAGGATGCTGACTTGCCTTGCCTTCACCTTAGTGAAAATTCTCCAGAAACTGGGCTCATAGGGTCAGCATAGTTGGCAGCAGTCACTCTCTTGCTTGCTGCTCCCACCATAAACCTGCCAGCCCCTCAAATGTGCTGACTGCAGAGCCAAGCTTTTTGCTCTCGTCAGCACTGGTGTTGGCAGCAGAAGTCAGAAATTATCAACACAGTTTCATTAGTGATTGCAAACCTAGAAGGAGTGAACCAGAGAGATAGATTTGAGAGGAAGTGAAGTCCCCTACTCCCCACCCTAACAGAATATCTCTCCACCCAGCCAGGTTGCCCAATACCTCCCATGTGTTTCATTTCCAACGGCCACTGAAGAAATGTGAATTTTGTAAGCAGGAAGCATTTGTTAAGCAGTGTAGAAGGAAAAGCACTGGAAGTCTCATGCCCAAATAGGAATTATGCACTTACTTTGCATGGTTGGTATTTGGCTCAAATCCATTCAGGTTGCTGGAAGCATATTGAGAATTTCAGTGAAGCTCATGTTGAAGTGACTGTCATTATCTGTCATTGTTAAGCAAAATCATGTTCCAGATTAGCTATGGAGATGAGAGTCCTGGCAGGTAGGTTTGAGGTAGGGGAAACATTGGTCAGAATAGGACTGGAGCCTGGAACATCCTGGTGGTGACAGACCTCAGAGATGGGCCACTACCGGGAGAGTGATGTCCTGATATTCTGAGCACCTGCTAGGCACCAGGGGATGCCTTCCTTATACCTTACCTCATAGCAGCCCTAGGTAATGCCACTATCCCATGTTATAGATGAGGCTCAGAGAGGTTGAGAAAACTTGTCCAGGGTCACGCAATTGGTAAGTTACAATAAAGCCCTTGCTCCATTTGTGAAGAGGTCTTCAATAGGTCGATTAGAAAGAATTGAAATGGTGTGCTAAAAAGCAGAGGCTAAGCAAAATCCTACAAAGGCAAGAAGCTATCTAGCAGTTCGTTTTTGTTTTGTTTTCATTTTTGTTTGTTTCAAGGCAGCCCTGAGTAAAAATATCTAAGAGTTTTTTGTTGTTGTTAAGTGCCTTTGAGTTGGTTTCAATTCATAGAGATCCCGTGTACAACAGAATGAAACACCTCCCACTCCTGTACCATCCTCACATTTGTGACTGTTAGAGCCCATCATTGCAGCCATTGTGTCAATCCATCTCATTGAAGGTATTTCTTTTTCTCTCACCCTCTGCTTTATTAAGCATGATGTCCTTCTGCAGGGGTGGGTCCCTCCTAATAACATGTCCAAAATAAGTGAAATGAAGTCTCATGATCTTTGCTTCTAAGAAGCATTCTGGCTGTGCTTTATCCGAGACTGATTTGTTCATTTTTCTGGTGAAAAAACCAAACCAAACACACTGCTGTGGAGTTGGGGCCGACTCATAGCAACCCCCTCCTTGAATTTCCGAGGTGGTATCACTATGGAAGTAGATTGCCCAACCTTCCTTCTGAGGAGCAGACCATGGTATATTTAATATTCCTCACCAACACCATAATTCATATGCTCCGATTCTTCGGTCTTCTTTATTTATTTTTCAGCTTTTGCATGTTTATGAGGTGATTGAAAATATCATGGTGTGGGTCAGATGCACCTTATTTCAGCTTCATGAACACCACCTCTTGGCTCTATTTCCCCTGACCCTCCACCTTTCTCTTCTTTCTAAGTCACCCTATTTCTCCTGTCCTATGCACTCCTATGAACCCTCCTTATGACTCTCACAGGGTATGGAGTTACCTGTAGGCCAACCTATGCCACATATGGGCTGTGTAACAAGGATCAATCTAAGCCCACTCTTGTACCCTCTGTTTCCTTATTTGCAAAGTGATAGGGTTGGCCTATCAGCATCTCATTTTGGCAGCACTATTGGCACCTAGGGTAGAATAATTTCACATTGTACGACATCTTTGGCCCTGTCCACCAAAGGACAGTAGCATTCCCCAGACTTTTTGACAACAATAACAACAAACCCCTGCATGTTTCCAAGTGCCCTGGAGTGCTACGTAGCCTGGTTGAGAAGCTTTCTAGCCTCAAAAGATCTGTTTATAAGTTTTTGACTCTCAGTCAAAACCATTTCACTTATCAGCTTCCTCTTGTGGACTCACAGTGCAAAGTTATCACTCTGTGATCAGAGTCAGGAAAAGCTCATGGGTTTCAGACATGGACTTGAAAGTGATACATACCTGGGTTTAAGCTACAGCTCCTACTTTCATAGGCTGCATGTCCTTGAACAAGTTTCCTTACCATTCTGAACCTCTGTATCATTACCTCTAAAGTGGAGAACAATGACCATGATCACATCTTTTCACAGGCTCTTTAGCACTACGTCCAATGCTGAGCTCGTGGGAAATGCTTAGGAAGCGTTAGTATGAATAGAATGGTAAGGTCCCCCACTGTGTGTGCTCTCCAAACACTAAACTGGTTCTTCACAACACTCTTGCCAAAGTAATTAAATTAATGATCCATATACGCATTTTTTTTTTTACCAGCACCCCATGTTTGACTACACGTTACATGAGAGCAGAGAGGATCTAAGTCTCCCTTGCTCCCTATTGTATCCCCAGGACATGATATACAGTAGATGCTCAATAAGCATTTGTCAAACGATTGAAGAAATGTAACCATGGCCTTATCTTTGTTTTCCAGAGCTCACTGCCTTTATCAGTCAAATAAACACAGAAATAACTTTCCTTGACTCATAGGAGAGGCCAAGATGGAAAGAGCAACCACCACAGAGGACTATGACATGACCACAGAATATGATTATGGAGATTCAACTCCATGTCAGAAGACAGAGGTGAGGGCTTTTGGGGCCCAACTGCTTCCCCCTTTGTATTCCCTGGTGTTTGTCATTGGCCTGGTTGGCAACATCCTAGTGGTCTTGCTCTTCATGCAATATAAGAGGCTCAAAAGCATGACCAGTATCTACCTCCTCAACCTGGCCATTTCTGACCTGGTCTTCCTTTCCACGCTGCCCTTTTGGATTGACTACAAACTAAAGGATAACTGGATTTTTGGTGATGTCATGTGCAAATTCCTCTCAGGGTTTTATTACATAGGCTTGTACAGCGAGATCTTTTTCATCATCCTACTGACGTTCGACAGGTACCTGGCCATTGTTCATGCTGTATTTGCCCTGCGGGCCCGAACCATCACCTTTGGTATCATAAGCAGTATTGTCGCCTGGGCCCTGGCCATCTTGGCATCCATCCCAGGCTGGCAATTTTCCAAGGCCCAATTAGAGATCAGTCATTTCACCTGCAGCCTTCACTTCCCTCATGGAAGCCTAAAAGGGTGGAAACAATTCCAGGCTCTGAAACTGAACATTTTGGGGCTGGTTTTGCCTCTGTTGGTTATGATTATCTGCTACTCAGGAATTATAAAGATTCTGCTTAGAAGACCAAATGAGAAGAAGGCCAAAGCAGTCCGCCTGATTTTTGTCATCATGATCATCTTCTTTCTCTTTTGGACCCCCTATACCCTGGCTATGTTAGTCTCTGCTTTCCAAGACTCTCTTTTTACCAATGAGTGTGAGCAGAGCAAACAGCTGGACCTGGCCATACAAGTGACAGAGACAATCTCCTTCACACACTGCTGCATCAACCCCATCATCTACGTCTTCGTTGGTGAGCGGTTCAGGAGGTATCTCCATCAGTTGTTCCACAGAATCTTTGCAGTGCGCCTGGCTAAATGGCTTCCCTTCCTGTCTACAGAGAGGTTGGAGAGGGCCAGCTCTATGTCTCCCTCCACAAGGGAGGATGAACTTTCTGTGGGGCTCTGACTCAACCCCCTGGAGGACGAACCAGGACCCAGCAAGAGTAACTTGCAGCCACGCAGGCAGGAGAGGGGAAACAACTTTGTTCTCCCAGCCGGTGTCTGACCCGACACAAGCATAGACTCTTGGGATTGAAAGCATCAAAGGTGTCTAGACTAAATCACCTCTGGGGCTTGATTGACTCTTTTCCATGACACTCTCTCTGCTAGAAAGGAGATGAATGAACAAAACAGGACATGCCAGAAGACTGGGACAGAGTGGGAACCAAGGCCAAGGGCTAGGGTCTAAACAGGATTTCAGATCTGTGCACTTTGTAAACAAAGCCTCTGTAACATCCCTTACCCCTACCCCCAATGAACTTAAAAATAATAATTTTAACTATTGACTTTACTCTGAGCCCCTCCCACTCATATCTTCAATCTCTGCCCCCCCCCAACCCCCACCACTACAGGGTTTAGGCTCTTAGGAACCCAGGGGACTAATGGGAAATAAGATTAGGGGAGTGTTGTTGAGAAAGCAACTAAGAACGCTCTTAGAATTTCTGTAGTCACTGAAATCAAACAATTCCTGTGGTAGGCAGAACACAAATATATACATATAACATGCTGTGCTTCTTGAAATAGTCATACAGGGAGGAGCTTATCATTTCCAATTGCCATTTTTTTCTTCCTGAATATATATTTTTTTCCAGAATCTCCCTTCCCTGAAAGTTGGATGATATGGTAATCAATTCTGATGGTTTATGGCAGAGGTTACCAACAGGCAAAGAGGCTGATGTTCTTCTGAGTTCAGGGATCAGAGTTCTGCTTCCGTACTGGAGCCACCGGCAGGCAAAGTGGCCTCTGGTGTAACCTGACAGTGTTTGGGGCTGGAAAGAAGGAACATTCTAGAAGGAAGATACCTATCCTTGCTGGTAGGTGGAGTGGGGGCTCTCTGTCTTGATGTAAGAGTTTGAAAGAGTCTTTAATTCAAACTACTTTTTTTTTTTTTTTTTTACCTAAAATGCCCTTAACACTTCATCTCTCACAAAGCACTTCCTGTTTATCATGCCTTTGTTTCCTTTTCCCTCAGATAGGTATTTCTTTTAAAATATGTTCCCTAATAGCAAAACTGTTTCTAAGAAAGCTTGAAAATTCAAAAGAAAAACAAACAACAAAATCACCCATACTCCTACTAGTCAAAGACAATCACTATACATTTTTGAATATGTTTTATTTTCTCCATGCATATTTACAACAAAAATGGGTTCCAACTGCACTTACTGTTCTGCTGTTGTTTTCAATTAGCAGTATGTTGTTATCACTTTTGCAGGCCAATAAATCATTTCAAAGGATTTCTTTTGATGCCTGCCCTGAATACCATGATAAGGATGTACTATAATTTACTCCATCCTTTTCCACATTATCACTTGCACAAATCAATTTAACCCTGCATTGGTGACTGAGGGCCTGTTCCCTTCAAACTCTGAGCTCCCTGAGACCTGGCAGACACAGATGGATGCCAGTTGTCTCTTCACAGTGAAGCAGACAGACACACAGATGCCAACAGTGCCCAGAGTAAGGTACATGGGGGTTGCGGTGGGGCTCATGGTGCCAGCGCTGCGAAGGGGAAGAAGGAACCCAGCAGTCAGAAGACACCTCCTACCTTTGACACAGTGACACTGTTGGACGGATTGCTCTGCTTGTTTGGACGCTGGAGGTGTTTTCTTACCAAGCCACCATCCTCTTCAGGTGGGGACCACCTCATGTGTATAGGGATAGGATCTTGGGTTCATGTGTTGTCTTTATGAAAAGATGCTTGTGTGATGAAAGTTTTCCAGACTTCCAGTCTAGGAAGGAGGACATCACACTGCACTGGTCTTACATAAGCGAAAAAACAAACCTATTAGTAGCCATTGAGTTCATTCCAACCTATTGTTGTTGTTGTTGTTATTGCCGTCAAGTCAGCCCTGACTCATAGTGACCCCTCCTTGGGTTTCCGAGGCAGTATCACTACGGAAGTAGGATTGCCCAACCTTCCTTCCGAGGAGTGGCTGGTGGGTTTGAACCGCCAGCCGTCTGGTTAGCAGGCAAGTGTCTTAGCCACTATGCTACCAGAGCTCCAACCTATAGGCTTACACAAATACAAGCTTTGGGAGTTGAAATGCATGCCAGCTCTCCATTTGTAAACCTGCCAGCCCTCTGTCTGTGGTATGAGAGAAAGAAGCTTAATTGAATTAAGAAATATTTGTCCACTACTTTGGGAAAAGAGTGAAAATAAAACTACATCAAAACACAATATTTGATGCACAAGAAGCACAATATAATAACGAGGACTGTTTCACAACATCCCACAATTTCATGTTTAAAGTAATACTTATCGTCCTTCTTTTCCTTATTACAAAAGGAGTATTTTGAAAGATGGCCCCGCTTGTCTTGTTTAATTTCATTCTGTAAATTAAACAAGACAAGCAGGGCCATCTTTCTCCAGCTTTATCAGATAATCAATCTGACATCTCCTTCCTGCCAGGGTCCTTCCTTTGTCACTTAATACACCTTCAGCTTTTCCTGAATGCCTCCTTCTCTGCCATCATCTCCTCTCCCTGATTCGGCATCAATGGAGCTCACTTCCATCCTCATTTTTGTTGTTCCTGTTGTAGTTTCCATTGCAAGTCCACACAAGAACTGCCAGAATGGCACAAAGAACCCAAGGTTCTTCCATCCAGATTCTCTGACTGTTAACATTATACCACATTTCCCTCATTTCATTCTTTCTCTCATTTTCTTGCTCCCCCTTCCCTGTCTCTCTTCATATATGGATAGATATAGATACAGGTGACAGACACAGGAGTAGATGTAGATGTAGATGTCTAGATAGATGAGGCAGTAGTGGTTTAGTGGTGGAATTTTTGCCTTCCATGCAGAGACCTGGGTTTGATTCCAACCAATGAACATGGTTTTAGCAGAACGTTCAGACTAAGATGGACTAGGAAAAAAGGTTATCTTCTTCCAGGGGAGCTCTGGTGGCATAGTGCCTAAGGCATTTGACTGCTAACCAGAAGGCTGTCAGTTCAAACCCACCAGCTACTCCTCGGAAGGAAGATTAGGCAATCTACCTCCATAGTGATACCACTTCAGAATCCCCAGGAGGGGTCCTATGAGTTAGATCCAACTCAATGGCAGAGAATTTGTGTTTTTGGTTTATCTTCTTCCAAAAGTCAGACAATAAAAACCCTATGGATCACAATGGTTGAATCTTCAACTAACCATGGGTTGCCACAGGGCCAGGCAGTATTTTGTTCCACTGTGCTGGAATTGTCATGAATCAGAGGCTAATTTGACAGCAGCTAACAACAACGGACATAGCTATAGGTATGGCATAGGTGTAGGTATGGCTATAGACATAGACATATACTATTTTATTTCCAGAACTATTAGAGAGCAAATTGCAAATATGATGCCTCATCATCCTTTAGTACTTCAGATAACTTTTCCTAACAACAAAGACACCCTCACATAACCAAAATCAGGAGACTAGCCCTGACACAAAATCATCACCAAATCTACAGCCCACCTTGTTAATGATGGCCTTTATAATCCTTAAGGAGCTTTTTTTTCTTTTCTTCTGGTAGAGAAGTGGATAACGTATTTGGCTGCTAACTAGAAGGTCAGTGGTTCAAACCCACCAGCTGCTCCATGGAAGGAAGATAGAGCAATCTACTTCCGAAGATTTATAGCTTTGAAAACCCAGTGGGGGTTGCTATGAATCGGAATTGACTCAATGGCAGTGAGTTTGGTTTTTTGTTTGTTTGTTTGTTTGTTTATATTCCTAGTATCTAGGAGCACTCATTTTACTTAATCGTCATGTCTATCTCAGTCTTGGCCATGAATAGTTCCCTAGGTTTTTCTTGTATTCTTTATCTTGACATTTTTGAAGAACACAGTTACCTGGTAGATGGTCCCTCAACTTAGTTTTACCTGATGTTTGCAGACGGTTAGACAGATTATGCAACTATGGCAGGAACTTCGCAGAAGGGATGCTACCTTCTCAGTGTGTGATTTCAGGAGGCACATGCAGTCAGTTTGCCCCATGGCTGGAGATGTTGACCTTCATCATTTGCTCAAGAAGGTGCCTACTGAGTTTCTCCACTGTAAAAGTGTTTTGTACTTATCAATAAATGGCTACTTAACATTCTACTGTAATGTAGAAACTTCTCTTCTTCTCTACTTATTTATTCATTAATTTATCAGTATATATTTAAGGATTCTTTTTTTATCCACTCAGAAATGATCTGACATTGACCTTATGTGTTTTAATGTACACGTTCTCCCAGACTTGTTCAGTTGGAGCCCCTTCAAACTGGCTCCTATGTCCGTTTGCTATATCCTGTATCATTTTTTGAGCATTTCATTTGACACAAGAAGTTCCCAGTTCACCTTCATTTCCCCCAGCTATGGTAACTAGCATTTCTCCAAGTAGGCTTGGTCCCTGCACCAGAGATTGATTTTCAGAAACCAAGATGTGGGTGCTAGGCATGCTCATTGCTAGTGGAATATTATTATTTCTGGTTCTCCTTTGTGGTCAGAACTACGACAAATATCTGTTAATGTATAAACACAGACGCACACATATGTACAAGCCTCTACCTATCTGGCTATCTGCCTGTCTCTCCATCTCTCTCTCTCTATCAGTTATCCATCTATATTTAAGACAATGAATTCACATCAATATCTCCAATCTTACATAACTTTGTTCTTTCTAGTCTTCCTCCTTTTCATATTTGAAATTGGTTCTCTTTTAATGAGTAACTTGGCTCTCATAGTTGTCAGCATGTTTTCTTTTTTGTACATAATCTTTCAGTAATTCTTCTGAACATAACAGCCTACTGCCCCACTGTCACAAACGGCATGAGACTCTGCACACAACTTGAGTTCCCCAGCTCCTTGGCCAAGCTTCCAATCTTAATATGAGGGAGAGGGAGAGAGCCCTTCTTTTCTTTAATTTTTTTTCCTTCCTTTTAAATAATC